TCGAGAAAAAGTCTCCTAAGAGAAAAAATTAGATTGTAATTTGAGTTGAAGTGGAACAGCATTGCAAACCGGTGACGACGCGTTTAGCTTACGGTGTGCCGTCTACACTCAATAGCCATGTGAAGTCCAACCCTTTCATTTTAATTTGGAGAGCAGGGTCTGGACCGATTATTGTAATGCAACTGCTACAACTCATGTAAAAAAACAACATTATTATTGATGTAATAAGTCAACTCGTGAATCCAGTCGGTCCAGTCATGAGCTATCTAAGAATGGATGGTCTGTGGTCTATCACTACGGTATATACCATGCATACATTGCTCAAAAGTTTATAGCAACAAGGGTGTATGTAATTAAGGGTTGGTCAGGGTGACAAAATATAAAGAAGTATTATAATGGGAAAAATCACAAATTTCCTGAAGTTCCCTAACTGACGTCATCATTCACTATTACAAATCTTAATTCATCGCTTCTAGTGGACTTTGGTCTTACATGCGTGGAATACGCCGCCTCCGTCCACCCCGGCCCCCACGCCCCCCGATCCACAACCCCTCCGATCCTCCTGAAAGTCCAGCCAGTCGGTTTAAATATCCCACATCTGCCACTACACAAAATAAACAAGTTGTCGGCAAAACCTTTGACGTCGCGCGCAGCACACAGCAACATTTTGGCATTTGGCAACATTACCAGCACCGGTCGTACATTTCTAGCGCTTCCATACAATATCCAGCAAAATGACCGTAATATCTCCTTTCGAATTCCATGAGCAACAGTCAGAGCACCATCCCCTACCCCCCCCCCCCCCATTCAAAAAATATTGGAAACATTAAAAAAAAAAGTGCCGTCTCAAAAGGTCCCATCGTTATTTTCATTGTTATTTTCATGACATGCAGCTGCATTGATTAATTTTCCCTTTAATATCTTTCTTTGTTAAATCAATTCTGAATCGTATTTTTAAAGGGAATATACATCATTTGCTTTTGCTGTAATTTTCAGAAATGGATGGAATTGGGGGATTGGAAATATAAAGCAAATATAGTTACACTGACTTTTTGGAGGTTTTGGGTTCGAAAATGCTATAAAAACCAAGAAAAACGATCATTTACCTGTAGTCTGGTTCCCTGACTCCATATAAGAAGAAACCGAGCAGTTTACATACATTGGGGAATTGTAAGGTCAGGGAACCAGTCTAGCTGGCTCGTACCCGTTCATAGGTTTGTAATCGATTGCAAACAAGTGCAATAGTCAATTGGGGCCAGTATTTGAAAAAAAGCCAGTTGTTTCCAACGCTGATCGGCCGATCAGCGTTGGAAATTGATACAAAAATACCACTTTTCTTGAAAATGACAGTATACCAGGTGCCATAATTTTACAGGATGCTTTAGACTGTCATTTACCAACGTCCTATTAAGGTATTTCGCAAAAACTTGGTAGTTTTATTTTTCGATGTTTGCAAATGTTGTATATTCCCTTTAAGCCGCATGTGCTATTTCCTTGTTAATTGCAACTGCCTCGCTGTACGTGTTGGGCATAGCCCGTTGAACCCAAAGAGTTTGCGGTTTCCAAACAAGACGACTGTACCGTTGCACGAGTGGGACCAGGCCGCCGTACCACAGCCTGCCCGGCCCCAGCAATCTCCACACAGTACACACGGTTACAGTTGCCATTAACCCCTTGACATGGAATCTCGACAGCCAATTTTCTAGCTACCAAAGAAAGGAAATGAAGGAGAGAGCAATGACGAAAAGCGGCGGCGGGGGTTCCTTTGACGGTATTAAAACTATGCAATTGTATAATCTTAATTCCGCGGCCCATTGGGCAAAGGGACCCACTATTAAATGGAAAGTAATTTCCCGGTGCACAGTTAACATGGGGGAGGTATCGGCGTGCCTTTGTGCGCTGATTGACTCCAGCGTCAAGTTCAATTTAGCCGGCTTTGTTACCATCACGTCGGGCATGAAAAATAGCCCAAGGCAGCCGCGGGGTGGTGGTGAAAGGAGACACAATACCTTACCAATCCGCCCAACAGACCGCTCAACCAGTGTCTAGTACGGATTCAGAAGCACCGTCAACCCTCTTTGTTGGTAGGTATAGATCAGTTCTCTCTATGACCGCAAGGGCACGGCTTGGGGTTGTATATCGGCATAAGCCCACAGCACGTGCGATAGGGCCCGACAATCTGTTGGTGTAAGCGACACCCTTATCACCTTTATTTGGTTCCATTTCAACCGGTGGATGTCGCCAACGCTTGTGATTTGCCGCGGAAAATCAAGCTTAAAGCTGAAAGCATCTTTTGTGATTTTGTTTCTCATGTCCCTACGCCAATCACTACTACTAGGCAAGACAATCCCTATCACTGAGCGAGCAGTCCACGTGCATACGGACTAAGATCGTGGAAAAGTAACCAAATACAATGTAGGCCTACGTAATCCGTGGCAGCAAAATCAAAACGTACAGGAGACCAGACATGTATCACCGTTTGCATTAATAACGTGCATATTATTACCTTTATGCAAATTGTTATTTATTTTTACATGTACCACTTGATAATTCCGTCAATGTAGCACAAAAAGTATTAATGAAAAAGGGCATTACCGCCCCATATGTGCTTGCGTAAGACATACATACAAAATATTACACATTTTCGTCCTTCCAAAAACAATGCATTTGGGTCATTCTAAAAATGTAGGGTCCAAAGTGCAACATTTTTCCTGTCCCTGTTAAATAATTTGCCATTCAACTATAACCAAGAATGACTTCAAACGATTTCTTATATTTTTGGGGTAGGTATTTTGCTATCCATAATCTCTCTTTGAGAACCAGAACATTAAGGAGTGCATCAGGATTATAAAATCATAGATATCAGGGACAGGGACAGAGAATAAAGTGGACCCCAAATTTATAGAGTGACATTTTAACAGCTCAAACATCCATGCTTATCGAACAGTACACCACACAAATATACAAGAAATTGCACCGTCTTGCAGGCACAATAAACACAACACAAACATTATCAGCTTGCAGACAAATTTTATGAAAAAAACACAATAACCGTCATTATCAAAGTAGACACAATGGATACCTCTGCATGCCACATTCTACAAGTAACGAACAGAAATTCTACAGTAACGAACGAAATTTGCAACTTAGCAATAATATACATCGTTCATATTACTCCTGAACTGAACATAGTTGTGTATGAAACCAAATTGCTCAATATTTCAAGACTGCAAACATGATCAAATTCTGGTCTCTACAAAAGTTTGGTATAGTCACTTTAAAATAATTCCATGTACACATAATGTAAAAGGAAAGCTTTTAGACCATTATCTCATCAATCTCTGTTTCTGAATGTGAATAGTAAACTCCTTATGTTAAATAACCTTTTATTTTTCCTACTCTTTTAACTCTATAAAGTGTTTACTGATTATGATGTTGCATTTTTCATTCAGCAACACCGTGAGGTGCACAGAACAACCAAATGTAAGCAAAGTTCAAACTTCGCTTTATAATCTGCAATTTCAAAACGAAATTCATCACAATCGAAAACTTGTTCATCTTACATGAGAAGATGATAACCACTTTAAATCTGACCTGGAACAAATTTAGGGGGGGGGAACCTGGAAGCAGCATGAAAATGTGTTTCAATAGAAAACAGTGTTACCTTCAGGACGCATCAGCTGTATTCTATATCCCTGGTCTTGGCTGTATGATTCTGGTTAGAATCATTTTACAGATTCATTGCAGATTAGTAAATGTGCAAATTTATTCCCAACTTTACTTGAGGACATCAGTCATTGAACTGCAATACATGAATTATGATTTACGCCAATAAACCCTGCATATAATACAATGGGGAAAAACGGGTGACCAATTAAGGCAGTTACAGAGACAGTTTTCTTTTAATTTGTTATCAACAGGTTTTTTTTTTAATTAGTATCTGATAACCTCTGAGTAAGATTGTACCCAATGGGAACTCAGTAGTGTACATTGATAAGAAAATATTGTTATCAATACATACAATTATTATATTGATATAAATGTCAAAAAACATAAATGTGTTGCCAATGTTTGGGAAATACTTTAGGGTACATATATACATGATCAACATTACAAACAATAACATTTATTTCACAGCAGAAAGATTAAATATGGGATGTGCCAAAAACTACGCTGTAAACATTTGTTAATTTTCGGAATTATAATTTAAAAGTGTAATGTTCTTACCGTGTATTCTACAAGTCCTTCGACGTCTGTGTAAATGAAGCATTCAAATTGACATAGTGACAAAGACATGTACATGTACATAACTTGAATGGTTTTTTTTTTCCAAACTTTCTGCATTGATGTCTTTGCAACATTAGTACAATGGCCAAGACCATATACTTCGGAGTCCAAAGAAGAAGAAACAACTGAGCATTGTTGACAAATATTAAGAATTGTAGATGCCTTGCCTTGCCTCATTTTTCAAGGATATAGGCAGAAGCCAGGATAACACAAGGTTTCAATCACTTGGCTTGACAGGCTGTGATTAGTGGCATGAAACTATTCCAGAATCAGGATAGGGAATGTAAAACTGCTCCACAGATCAACTGCAGACATGTGTTTGAAATTCCTTGTGAATTTAGCAAAACTCAGGGTTCAGCTCCATTATGAGGATAGTAAATCACATACACTGTGTTTATCTGCAGCAAACAATGGCAAGGGGCCAGTGATGTAGTACTCGTACTCGGTACTCGTACTCCTCGAGTACTTTTTTGGAGTACTACTCGTACTTGTACTCGAATGTCGAAGTACTCGTACTCAAAATGACAGTACTTGTACTCGGGCATTAAAGTACTCGTACTCGACACGTCGAAATTGTACTCGATCATCAAAGTACTCGTACTCGAATAGCAGTACTCAGGAAAAAATGGTATAGCTTGACTTTACATACCACGGCCTTACTTTATCGATACTTTCAGTTTGAAATGGTTGATTGGCTTGTGGAGAAATCGAAAGTTTCCTGATTTTCCTCTGTGCACATCTGGACAAACACATTTAACAGCTAGCCATGAGTGGGTCTGTGTATCGGTCTGACTGGGCCCGGGCCAATTACGCACAGTAAACCATTTGCCCTGTGGCCATATTCGGAAGTATTCGTACTCGGACTTGTACTCGGAAGTACAGTACTCGTACTTGTACTCAGCAACCTAAGTGCTCGGCAGTACTTGGTACTCGGAAAAAAGAACTCGACTACAACACTGCAAGGGGCATTTCCAAAATATCCTCACCACATATCACAACATTGTACATGTACACTCGAAATGGTGGCTGTTACACCCTGGGCATATCTCAAAATATAAATCATTTATTATCTCAACCTTCAGCCTCTTCAACTCTGAATCAATCTAGTTACACTGAGCCAAAGCTGTCCAGAGATGGTGAATGTTCCTCCACATCCTCAAAGCTGCCGATGCTAGCCTTCTCTGCATCTTGTATGTTCACAAATTGTGGCTGGACAACTTTGGCCTCCTGAGGGAGCTGTTGTAGATGCTTTTGAAGGCTGGTGCAAATGTCCATGAGTACATGACAGAGGGCGGTATCAATGATGGCCTGTGGTGTCCAGACCTGGTGGCGGGGCAATAACCATTTTTTTGTATTTTAAAATAAGTACATGTATTTGAACAGGATGAAGATGGGTTAAAAATAAAGATAAAATCTGAGCAAGTAGGTCAACAGTCGTAGGTTCAAGTCCAACCTAAACTCACTCACATCACAAATTATACTGCTTATAACATAACACAGATCAAGGGCAAAATCTGATATTAAATATGAAAATAAAAATTTATACAAAAAAATGGTGTTTTCTTTTAAATTCAAAGGACTATTTTGATAATTTTATTGTGCAAGTTCTATTTCATTTGAGCAAATAGGTATATCGTTCCGCAAAACATACCAAACCGAACAACTTAATTCGGTTTGCTTTTCATGAAAGGGCCCAGAAGGTTCCACTGATGGCAAGCTTAACTCAGCAATAGATTTGGCTCTGTTCCAAATTTTAAATCAACTGTCTTCACTTCTAACTTTTATACTACCCAAAATTGTTATTGTTTTGTTGTGAATAACAATTAGTCAGATGGAATCATTCCACGAGGTGTTTTGTATCTTTTTAAAGCACAAAATTATTTTGAAAGATGAAATCGTGAAAAACCTATATAATCCACTGAACTGAAATCTTCACAGATTAATTTTTAACTTTCTAAATTTAAGCATTGTTATTAATAACCCTAAAGCAATGCAAATGGTCCTAATTGCTGTTCTCTTTTTTGTAATCCTTAATTTTTTTTTTTAGATAGGTACTTGTTGGTTGAAGAGGTGCCGTGGCGTAGCCACGGGGGGGCGTGGGGCGACAGCCCCCCCCATGAAACCTTGTCCCCCCCCAGTCGCCCCCCCCCCCTGAGATTTTGAGTTTCAAAAAAAATTATCATTGATCTACATGACGCCCCCCATGAAATGTTCCAGCCCCCCCCCCCCCTGAAAAATTCCTGGCTACGCCACTGAAGAGGTGAAAATCATACCTTAAAATTCAGATCAGTGTTGAGAATCCATGTAAACTTGGACTGGGATGGGTCACCATCAAGCCGTTCAAGTAACCATCCAGTGGGTCCATTGAATCCCCTGAAAGATACAACATGAATGGCATTTATCTTAATAGGTAGGGTTGTGCATTTAAGGGGAGTATGGGAACCGGGTACCCGATTGAAAAAAAAAAACACAGGTACCCGGGAATCTGTGAGAGAAACCCAAGCCCAAACTTCAGATCTCAGAAGTTGCTGTTCATCAGATTGTTTACAAAGGTCTGTATGATAATACTACCACATCAGTGCGTCACCTACAGCAAGATACAAGTGTGTACAGTGGAGCTTACAGCTTTACAGTGTAAATTGCAACTTTCGCAAGCGTCATGAATGTGAAATAGATGATTTGTTTTCCCACGTAACCTGGTTTTCATTAGTAACATTCCCCACAAGTGACATGCAAATCTGTCTTTTTCATTCTCTGAGAAGTTACTGAGTAATTTGTAAAGTTACAAGTACCCAATCCCATAATCTGTAACTGGTTCCTTACATCAATGATCGGGTACATGGGTACCCAGTTCCAATACACAGCCCTAGGTCAATAAAAAAAATGCATTAAGTTGGGACTTTTTGAAATCTAGAAATACAGGATCTACAACTAACTTTTACTGTGCTGTTCTCTTTGTGTGTTTTTCCACTGGGCAATACATGTACACAAAGTTCAGATTTAATCATTCGTACAACTTTGCTATTCAGTAAAGAAAAAAAAAGCTGGGTTTCATATTATAAAACTTTGCAACATTCCCAAAATATTCCATTGGAGTATTCATCCTTTTGCCTTACTAAACATGTTTTAAAACTTAACATTGTTTTTTTTTTTTAACTCATCCACCAATTACAGACAATATTTTGCATGGTGCATAATATACATGTAAGGTATCAAGTTTGGTGCCTATTTCACCTTCATTACTTGAGTACATTGTGTGCCAATTTAGCTTGTTAGGTTTGGACTCTGATGCATCCAAACCAAAAAGTTTACTCTGAGTTCCTGATTCACATACTGTGAGTAGGCCTGTCCTTGCACAGAGCAAAGAGTTTCACAAAAACTGTCGTTCACTGACATGAATATTTAGGCCGTGGGCCAAAGCCTGTAACGTGCAGTTTCATCTTAACTTTTTAGTAGCAACTTAATTTCTCGGTTATAAGTAGTTTGGAACATGTTAATTGATATTTTACAATGTGCACACCACATCGTTTTGCACAAGTAAGAAATAAAGGGGACTGTTTCCCCAATGTAACTTTACCGCATGAGGGTGATCGCTATGGGCCTCCAACAGGCAGGTGCGCGTTCCTCCATTGACCCCTGCCCGTGGGGTTAAAACATAGAAGTTATGGCAAAAATACTATTTGTGACCTGTTCTGTCAAAAGCAGACGGTTCTGGGCAGAGGTTGAAATTGAGATAGGGCAAAAAAACGCTGTGGGGGTGATTTTTTTCCATTTTCTAATTTTTGCATATTTGTAATCCTGAGCACGTCTAAAATATACTATACAAGTTTGAAACCCTAATTTGATCTCTAATTATAGTATTTTTGATGATTTGTTAAGGTATATCAGTTAAAGAAATTACTGTTTTGTGACGTTCGTGGCCATTTTCTCTGTTTTCTACTTTTCGACACAATGAACTTCAAAATAGCATAACTTTGTGCAGGAATGACCGGTTTCAAAAATTAAACCACCTATTAAAAGGAAACAGAACATATTTTAACAAATATGCAAAAATCTAATTTTTGACCTTATGCCCAGAAAAGTCTGATTTTGACAGAACAGGTCACATTTTTGACCAAAAATGGGCAAAATAATGAGAAAAAAATGTTTTCATAACGTTAATGTGCAATTTGGGCCAATGTGAACAACCAGACTCAGATTCAGCACTATCGAATTAGTAAAGTTGACCTTATTGCAAGGTGACACCAAAAAGTTAAGACAAACCTCAACTTCTAGACCTGATACAGATTTTGGCCCATGGCCTAATTGTTATGCATATTCATGGCCTTTCCTGCGGATGATTCACACAATGACCTACTAACTGACCTGACATACTGACTGCATGGAGGTTTCTTGGCATGTTCAACTGCAATGCTGCTACATACATGCACATCCCCTCGCTGCCAGTAATTCCGCACAGCAACAAAGTCCCTGCAAGTACAAATGTACCATCAGAAATGAGAAGATGAGGGTCAGAACTGAACAACGAGGGAACAATACAAAATGATGAAAGTACCATTTGGAAGTCAAACACTGGATTCAGACAGCTTTGGGAGACAGCAGTCCTAGGTTCCTGAAGAAACCTAGCAATGGAATGGTACCAATGTTGCAGTGATGTAGTGCCTTGATGCTGGGCCTTGGCCTTAAGGCTACCTTAAGGCTGGACTTTAGGGCCTTGGCCTCGAGGCTTGAGGGCAAAAGCCTTGGCCTTGGCCTTGGCCTTGAGGGATCACGGCCTTGCAATTTTGAGTCAAGGCTCTTCAAGGCCCATAGACTTTTGCTTTTTCCAGATAAATCTGTTCGAAATTTTGCTGTTACCATTTTAATCGTATTACCATGGAGGAGGGAAACCCCTTGTAGATTTGTGTGTTGGGCACACTTCCACTTTTATAGCATATGTTGTTACCATTGCAGTATATTTGCTGCAAAAATATTCTGTACACTTGTGGGGCTAATGAGATGATCACTTAAATTGCATACAATTATGGAATATCTATCTGATTGGTTGTATGTCTCCCTGATAAGTGCTAAAGATTTGCATGTATCTGTTTTAGATAATGCTGATATTTCTGACCATGTTGGCCCAGCAAATAAACATTTCCCAAATCAGTTTCTTGGATCCCCCTTTTGTTACACTCGGGAGAATTGTGCGTCAATATAGAAGTAAATCTTTATTTTGTTTTAGTTAAACCATATTGAAGACCTGAACTTATACTTTAATAGATCTAATGCAGTCATAAAACGGTGTATGCGAGCAGTTGATTGCAATTTAAGACATGTTGTTGTTCTTAATGGGCGATTCGTGATGATGTGTCATGTGACTATAATTAGTTCTATATCAGTGGTCATTTTATAAAACAGGGCCTTGGCTTTTGCCTTAGCCTTGAGGGTTAAGCCTTGGCCTTGAGGCTTGAAGGTCTAAGCCTTGGCCTTGGCCTTGAGGGTCAAAGCCTTGGCCTTGAAGGTTTAAGCCTTTGCTCCAACACTGCAATGTTGAGGTAGTGTTGGAACTGTCTGTCTAACGTATAGTTCCCCACTGGGCAGGGTTGAAAAACTTGAAATTCAAACCTTGGTTTCCAGGTACCTTCCATATCCCAACCAGGTTCAGATTTTATCTTAGAACATGTGCCATATTCATTTACGTCATATGAATACATATTCAAAACTGAATTTTAAGTGGTCTTTTTACCATCATGTGCCAGCTGAATGGTTTGCTATTTCTGCAAATGCAGATTAACACAGGGTCAGGGAGAAAGACACAAGCACAGTCATGGGGGTTACCTATGTGATAGTCCATTGCATATGTATGCTTTTTACTGGGCAATCTTTGAAACTATTGCACAGGGTGCGCTGCAGTGTGTTTCCAATTAACTTAGGGGCCATTCAAATTTTCGATGCTTTTAAATTTCGAATTTTTTTTCCCCCGAAATGTGGGTGGGTGGGTCATATTAATTTATTGACATTTTTGTTAATCGAAATTCACTTTTTTCAATTAAAAAGATAGAAAATAGAAAACAAAAGCTCTTTGGACTTGCCAAATCAACTCTGTGCGTTCCGATTCGTAAACCCTTTGCCCATACTGCACCGTACGGGTACAGTATGCATCCGGTACATATACAATATACCGTATATTGTGTATACGTCCATCTGAGCACCATATGCATGAGCACCATGTGCATGGGGACCAGTGAAGTTAGACTTAAAGCATGCGAAAAATCAGTGCGACGTGCAAATGGAGCGGGATGGCAGGTTCATTTCGTCTTAATATTCGCCATGAGTGTCGGTTACGAATCGTGACAGCGAAATAAACCTACTTGTGTTCAAGACTACTTAGGCAACCTGCATGCGCTATGCGCATAGTATATCTGCATGCAATGAACATGGCAGCGTCCACATGTCTGGAAAGTGCAGCACGAGTTGAGAGTTCAAATTTTTTTCTATCCAACTATGGCTAGTCAGATGTACAGGCAGGGTACAGCCTCAAGTAGCAGAAGCAGCAGTGACATCACGTGTGCGGGGTGTCTCTGGCTGACAGGCTGTCAAGTGGGGAGTTGAGGAGGACAGCTGGAGTGGAGGGGATCGGTATCGTTTTGAGGAGGCATAGGCTGAGGTGGTATGGTCATGTGGAGAGAAAGGAAGATGCCAGCTGGGTCAAGAGGTGTACCAAACTAGTAGCGGGTGGGCCCACACCCATTGGCCGACCACGCAAGATGTGGCAGAGCTCCGTGACTGATGACATGCGACTGCTTGGAGTCAATGCGAGGGATGCGACGGACAGGGCCAAGTGGAGGAGAGCCATAGGGAGAAAGCAGGTCAACCCAGAACAGACTGGACAACGGCCTTAAAACCGAGGATGATAAAACACAGTTTCGAGTTATCCGAGTTTGAGCTAATGAGAGTTTACTGTATTTATGAATTTGTTTTGGGAACAATTTTGAGGTCATGATGCTGGCGCAAGGGTCTATGCAAAAGTCTACTTACAGTACTTCCAGAAAAATCAATATCCACTGAAAAAAAATCTTACCTGCCAGCTACTATATTGCCTGGTCCCCCTGTGCTTACATTATACAGAATATCTGTGTGGTCATCAATCTGTTGTAGAACCTCACTCACAAGAACTGTTGGGTTCCAACTTGGAGTATTCTCAGCTTTATCCCAGAGTACAACCACAACTTGCTCTGGAGGAACTGGTAACTGGGTCTGAATGAACAACAATCAAGTATTAGATTATGGAGGATTTGAAAGGATTAAGGAAGGTAGATTTGATTAACATACAAATCTCCATCCCCTCCAATATGAGATTTGTGCTTAAACAAGAGACGGTGCTTATTGACCACCTTTGAGAGCCCCGTGAACGGAACACACCGCATGCGCGTACTGTTTGTGCGCGAAGTACGCATGACTTATTTTATTCTGAATGTGCACGAAGCCAAAGCATCTTTGCGTGAGCGTCAGGTGTCGTCGGCAATACGTTCGTATGTCACTCCAAGTGGTCTCCCCCAACTCTCCCTTTCTTACCGTTGGGGGGTATTTGTGCACGGAGCCCTCTGCCAATATGACTCAATTAAGAATACTGAAGTTCTTTTTTGTTCAACAAGAGAAACACATTAAAACATCCATCATACCTCTAATTTGTAGACCTTTCCCTTGATGCTGTCAAATCTATTACTTGTGATAACTGCATTATATTCCTCTTTCTTCAACTCATTACGCCAGCCGTCATGCTTGGCTAAAATTCTGTCCAGGAATCGTAGTGACTCCTTAGCCCTCTGAAGGTACTCTTGTTCCTGAATGAAAAAGCAACAATAGACAGATGTAATTACCTGTATGATGCAAGGATCCTGATCATGATTTTCTTTCTCTTTTAATTGGTTCAGTGCTAAGTTAATTTTAACGGTGCTAAGTTACTAATCTTACTTGAAAGTTATAAACTCCCACGCTTCCAAAACATTTTTGTGCTGGTGGTGGCTATTTTTGAAAGCACTACTGCAGCTCAAACTGAGTTCCATCCAGAGTGACACTTTATTACCAGTTCCTCCAACCATACTCTTAAATTCCTTGATCAAAATCTCGCACTACAAACACGAGGTGCAAACCCATTGAAAATTATTTAGTCTGGTCCTCAAGTACTCCACTGCGCACACTGCATTGATGTCTATCAGGTTCTTGAATGCATTGCTTATTAGACTTGTCATCGGTCCATCCATTATCGTAAATTAGGGCCTATTATATATTTCGCCAGAAGTTTTCGGGCGATATTCCGGAAACAGAAAACGTTGGAAATCTGGAATCCGCATAAAATTCCGCAGACGTTTGACTAAAATCCGGAAAAATCTGGACAAATCTCACCCCTGCCCTTGAGAATATCACACAGAATTTATCTACTGTGTGTGCATAGAGACCATAACAGAAACAAGCTATAAACAAAGATCAAAACCAGGAGTCTAGTGAATCTTTCAGGTTGACTACTATGTACAGGCTTAGAATGAACAATAAACAACCTCATATACGTATTTTAGACGGCATATCTTTTATTTTCATACGTCAACCATGTCATATTTGAAAGCTAGATACGGATAATCCATCAAAACTACTTTTTAATATGAAAAGTCGTAAAGACACACTTTTCCTTTCTAAACCACAGCCTCTTAGACCTTCCTCTTCAAGGTTGATGGAGTGTCACTCACCTGAAAAGAAGCAGCAAGGATGACAGAGTGTTACTTACCTCAACAGAAGCAGCAAGGTTGACAGTGTCACTCACTTCAACAGACGCAGCAAGCTTGACAGAGTGTCACCCAACTCAATAGAAGCAGCAAGCTTGACAGAGTGTCACTCACCTCAATAGACGCAGCAAGGTCGACAGTGTCACTCACCTCAATAAAAGCAGCAAGGTTGACAGAGTGTCACTCACCACAACAGAAGCAGCAAGGTTAACAGAGCATCGCTCACCTCAATAGAAGCAGCAAGGTTGACAGAGCATCGCTCACCTCAATAGAAGCAGCAAGGATGACAGAGTGTTACTTACCTCAATAGATGCAGCAAGGTAGACAGAGTGTCACTCACCTCAATAGAAGCAGCAATGTTGACAGAGAGAGTCACTCACCTCAATAGAAGCAGCAAGGTTGACAGAGTGTCACTCACCTCAATAGAAGCAGCAAGGTTGACAGAGTGTCACTCACCACAACAGAAGCAGCAAGGTTGACAGAGTGTCACTCACCACAACAGAAGCAGCAAGGTTGACAGAGTGTCACTCACCACAACAGAAGCAGCAAGGTTGACAGAGTGTCACCCAACTCAATAGAAGCAGCAAGCTTGACAGAGTGTCACTCACCTCAATAGAAGCAGCAAGGTTGACAGTGTCACTCACCACAATAGACGCATCAAGGTTGACAGAGCATCGCTCACCTCAATAGAAGCAGCAATGTTGACAGAGAGAGTCACTCACCACAATAGAAGCATCAAGGTTGACAGAGTGTCACTCACCTCAACAGAAGCAGCAAGGTTGACAGTGTCACTCACCACAATAGACGCATCAAGGTTGACAGAGTGTCACTCACCTCAATAGAAGCAGCAATGTTGACAGAGAGAGTCACTCACCACAATAGAAGCATCAAGGTTGACAGAGTGTCACTCACCTCAACAGAAGCAGCAAGGTTGACAGTGTCACTCACCACAATAGACGCATCAAGGTTGACAGAGTGTCACTCACCTCAATAGAAGCAGCAATGTTGACAGAGAGAGTCACTCACCACAATAGAAGCATCAAGGTTGACAGAGTGTCACTCACCTCAACAGAAGCAGCAAGGTTGACAGTGTCACTCACCTCAATAGACGCAGCAAGGTTGACAGAGTGTCACTCACCTCAATAGAAGCAGCAAGGTTAACAGAGCATCGCTCACCTCAATAGAAGCAGCAATGTTGACAGAGAGAGTCACTCACCACAATAGAAGCATCAAGGTTGACAGAGTGTCACTCACCTCAACAGAAGCAGCAAGGTTGACAGTGTCACTCACCACAATAGACGCATCAAGGTTGACAGAGTGTCACTCACCTCAATAGAAGCAGCAATGTTGACAGAGAGAGTCACTCACCACAATAGAAGCATCAAGGTTGACAGAGTGTCACTCACCTCAACAGAAGCAGCAAGGTTGACAGTGTCACTCACCACAATAGACGCATCAAGGTTGACAGAGTGTCACTCACCTCAATAGAAGCAGCAATGTTGACAGAGAGAGTCACTCACCACAATAGACGCATCAAGGTTGACAGAGTGTCACTCACCTCAACAGAAGCAGCAAGGTTGACAGTGTCACTCACCTCAATAGACGCAGCAAGGTTGACAGAGTGTCACTCACCTCAATAGAAGCACCAAGGTTAACAGAGCATCGCTCACCTCAATAGAAGCAGCAAGGATGACAGAGTGTTACTTACCTCAATAGACGCAGCAAGGTTGACAGTGTCACTCACCTCAATAGAAGCAGCAATGTTGACAGAGAGAGTCACTCACCTCAATAGAAGCAGCAAGGTTGACAGAGTGTCACTCACCTCAATAGATGCAGCAAGGTTGACAGTGTCACTCACCTCAATAGAAGCAGCAAGGTTGACAGAGTGTCACTCACCTCAATAGATGCAGCAAGGTTGACAGTGTCACTCACCTCAATAGAAGCAGCAAGGTTGACAGAGTGTCACTCACCTCAATAGAAGCAGCAAGGTCGACAGAGTGTCACTCACCTCAATAGAAGCAGCAAGGTTGACAGAGTGTCACTCACCACAACAGAAGCAGCAAGGTTGACAGAGTGTCACTCACCACAACAGAAGCAGCAAGGTTGACAGAGTGTCACTCACCTCAATAGAAGCAGCAAGGTTGACAGAGTGTCACTCACCACAACAGAAGCAGCAAGGTTGACAGAGTGTCACTCACCTCAATAGAAGCAGCAAGGTTGACAGAGTGTCACTCACCACAATAGAAGCATCAAGGTTGACAGAGTGTCACTCACCTCAACAGAAGCAGCAAGGTTGACAGTGTCACTCACCTCAATAGAAGCAGCAAGGTTGACAGAGTGTCACTCAACTCAATAGAAGCAGCAAGGTTAACAGAGCATCGCTCACCTCAATAGAAGCAGCAAGGATGACAGAGTGTTACTTACCTCAATAGACGCAGCAAGGTTGACAGTGTCACTCACCTCAATAGAAGCAGCAATGTTGACAGAGAGAGTCACTCACCTCAATAGAAGCAGCAAGGTTGACAGAGTGTCACTCACCTCAATAGATGCAGCAAGGTTGACAGTGTCACTCACCTCAATAGAAGCAGCAAGGTTGACAGAGTGTCACTCACCTCAATAGAAGCAGCAAGGTTGACAGAGTGTCACTCAACTCAATAGAAGCAGCAAGGTCGACAGAGTGTCACTCACCTCAATAGAAGCAGCAAGGTTGACAGAGTGTTACTCAACTCAATAGAAGCAGCAAGGTTGACAGAGCATCGCTCACCTCAATAGAAGCAGCAAGGTTGACAGAGTGTCACTCACCACAACAGAAGCAGCAAGGTCGACAGAGTGTCACTCACCTCAATAGAAGCAGCAAGGTCGACAGAGTGTCACTCACCTCAATAGAAGCAGCAAGGTTGACAGAGTGTCACTCACCTCAATAGAAGCAGCAAGGTTGACAGAGTGTCACTCAACTCAATAGAAGCAGCAAGGTCGACAGAGTGTCACTCACCTCAATAGAAGCAGCAAGGTTGACAGAGTGTTACTCAACTCAATAGAAGCAGCAAGGTTGACAGAGCATCGCTCACCTCAATAGAAGCAGCAAGGTTGACAGAGTGTCACTCACCACAACAGAAGCAGCAAGGTCGACAGAGTGTCACTCACCTCAATAGAAGCAGCAAGGTCGACAGAGTGTCACTCAACTCAATAGAAGCAGCAAGGTCGACAGAGTGTCACTCACCTCAATAGAAGCAGCAAGGTTGACAGAGTGTTACTTACCTCAATTGAAGCAGCAAGGTAGACAGAGCATCGCTCACCTCAATAGAAGCAGCAAGGTTGACAGAGTGTCACTCAACTCAATAGAAGCAGCAAGGTTGACAGAGCATCGCTCACCTCAATAGAAGCAGCAAGGTTGACAGAGTGTTACTCAACTCAATAGAAGCAGCAAGGTTGACAGAGCATCGCTCACCTCAATAGAAGCAGCAATGTTGACAGAGAGAGTCACTCACCTCAATAGAAGCAGCAAGGTTGACAGAGTGTTACTCAACTCAATAGAAGCAGCAAGGTTGACAGAGCATCACTCACCTCAATAGAAGCAGCAAGGTTGACAGAGTGTTACTCAACTCAATAGAAGCAGCAAGGTAGACAGAGCATCGCTCACCTCAATAGAAGCAGCAAGGATGACAGAGTGTTACTTACCTCAATAGAAGCAGCAAGGTAGACAGAGCATCGCTCACCTCAATAGAAGCAGCAAGGTTGAAAGAGTGTTACCTCAACTGAAGCAGCAAGGTTGACAGAGTGTTTACTCACCTGAATAGAAGCAGCAAGGTTGACAGAACTTCCTCTTTGACTGTTTGGCAAGGATTGGAACTCTGATGCATGGGAGCGAAGACTTCCACTGTAGTCAGATCCACTCTCTTCATCTGAGGCTACATATATGGGAACAAAGAACAAGAAATTAGCACATAGCAAGAGTAGGGTAATGAAACCTAGGGAACATGCCCATTTCTCCAGGGTGCTGTGTAATTTCCAGAAACTTTCAAGATAACTGAAACTAAAATAGAAGACAATGATGCTCTTTTCCTGTGTAACTTTTTTATTTCCTAACTTTTCATGTGAGAACTATTGTTTTATTACACAATTACATGTTATTTTCATTGTTGGAAGTCCATGTTAAAAAATGGTAATTACAAGGTTTCAATATTTAAACTAGATCATTACAAAATCATCATTATTGAGATCACGTTATATTCACAAAAATTATGCAGTTCATGCACTATGATCACATTTAATTCAACAGGTAGTTGTTGTGCAACTATCAACAGTGCCCTCACTGGCAGCAATAAAGTGAGCACAGTCAATTGAGGTAAAGTATCTTGCAGAAGGACACCAGCACCCTGACTGACTGGTAATAAGGAGTAAATAAGACTTAAGGGTTTGCTTGATGGCCACGATCAATTGAATGGGAGCAGGGGTGAGTGTGAAGTTCAGAAAAAAATAGCTGAACCTGCAAGCGTGAAGCACGAAGCCCATATGGCGTGGGGTCCGGGGCCTGCTCAAGGGCCCCCGGAAAATTTTGAAATGTAGGTGCTCTGTGGTGCATTTTACAGCCTCCTGGGTCAACTATTGGTCGAAAATGTTTTGCAATTTATGCATGTTTCTAAGTAAATTTTTTCCTTCATATTGGCTTGAAACTGCTTAAATGGACAACTTGAATATGAAAACTGTGTTAAAATTTTTTAGTCTTATTTCAAGGCTTTATATTTGCAATGAGACGTGTGCAAAGTGATCTTTTTTCGAGGTTTACAGCAAGTTATTGTGGAGATCATTGTGTGTCACTACTTACACAGACACAGGAACGGCTGCAAAGAGTCCCAACGCGCTTCATGGCGCATGTGTGAATATTCATATTTATCTGCAGCCAATCACAGCGCAATGACTGTTGGTTCCCCGGATGCTGTTCACACGCGGCTTCGAGCTGGAAAATGCATGCACATCTTATACGGCACATGTATAATACACGTACATGGGTGATTGTACTTGCTTGAGTACTCGCTTGCACAACAGAGCTACATTGTAGAGCAGATCGACAATGTTTTTCGCGCACGTTCGGTGGCCGCGAAAAATAAAATCAATGCTTACGCGCGGGGGAAAAAGTGGGGAAAAATCTGGACCATCGGTAGAAAAAAAAAGGGACACAAAATGCAGCACGCTTAACAAAAAAGCGGTAATCTGCCAAAAATTGGAGATTTCACACCCCAGTGGGAGGTTAGTGCTAAAACCATGTGAATGAAAGATATCTCTTAAGTGAGTTGTGTGGTTCCGAGAAATTCCTCTCAGAACCACACAACTCACTAATAAGGAGTACTTGACACCATGTCTACTTACCTTGAGATCCCTCTGGGGAGTAAAATCTGATAGGCTCACTGTTGCCAGGAAATGCTTCATGTTGCAACAAAGGAGTTCGCTCTGTAATATTTTCTTGGCCAATCAGATTTGCAAGCTCTGCGAAAGATAATTACAATAAGATTATAAGTTTATTGAACAACAAAATAACAACATACCAACATCAAAATGAACACTTCATCAAATTGAGAATTTCACACCACTAAATGTATAATGTTAGTCATGAAGACAAAATGACCAACACGATCCATATCGCATAGTATCAGTGTGCATGGATGCCATGTGTATGGGCAACCATGTGGGTGCACCGCATGCGGAAAATTAAGATAACACGCTGTTTACACGGCTACTAGTACAAGCATTAAGACCTTAAAATACAAGAAAACTAAAAATTCTTAAATGAAAATGCATAGAAAGAGTGATAAATTAATGTGAATTAAGTCAAATTTTTTTTAGGAATATGACCATGTAAGGCAATGTGGTCCCAGTGCTATAGACTGTTCCTGGTCCTTACATCCTGGTCCTTACATCGACTATTATCTGTATAGCGGCGGTCAATGGCGGGAACCAGTCTACCATTACCATACGCATGCTGCATGTGCTTCACATGCGCAAAGGAAAGTTGGCTGATTGTGTCAGGAAAAGAAAACAGAGATTCCACATACATGTGCAGCACAGGATCTCAAAGCAACTTGATCAAAAGTCATTAATATTTGTTTGAGGAAAAAAAGAAAAAAAAACAAGTCAGGTGTGTTTACAAACACAAATGCCCCGCAACCGTGACTGTTTCCATGACATAACACCACTCTAACATCAACTTACATCTACCTTGGTCAAATGGAACGTTCATTGACAGCATTAGTGTCTTCTGTAGGTTTTATATGAATCAATCCCTAATCCCTATGATCTCAGAATAAATACAAGATTTCCATTGTTTTAGCCACTGTGACCTTGACCCTTGACCTTTCGACCCCCAATGCGATAGGCTCCTTAGGATTGCCAAGGACAATCCACAAACCAAATTTGAAGTTCCTATGTAAAGCATATCTCAAGTTATCACGCTGACAAAATTTCTTTAGTTTTTGCCACTGTGACCTTGACCCTTGACCTTTTGGCCCCAAATGCAAAAGGCTTCTTAGGATTGCCAAGGACAATCCACAAACCAAATTTGAAGTTCATATGTAAAGTATATCTCAAGTTATCGCGCTGACAAAATTTCTATTGTTTCAGCCACTGTGACCTTGACCCTTGACCTTTTGGCCCCAAATGCAAAAGGCTTCTTAGAATTGCCAAGGACAATCCACAAACCAAATTTGAAGTTCATATGTAAAGTATTTCTCAAGTTATCGCGCTGACAAAATTTCTATTGTTTCAGCCACTGTGACCTTGACCCTTGACCTTTCGGCCCCAAATGCAGAAGGCTTCTTAGGATTACCAAGGACAATCCACAAACCAAATTTTAAGTTCATATGTTAAGTATTTCTCAAGTTATCGTGCTGACAAAATTTCTATTGTTTCAGCCACTGTGACCTTGACCCTTGACCTTTCGGCCCCAAAAGCAAAAGGCTTCTTAGGATTACCAAGGACAATCCACAAACCAAATTTGAAGTTCATATGTTAAGTATTTCTCAAGTTATCGCGCTGACAAGATTTGTCCGGACACACACACCCACACACCCACACACCCACACACCCACCCACCCACACACACACCCACACACCCACCCACCCACGGAAGGACAAGGCGGAAACAGTATGCCCCTTCGGCTTCGCCGCGGGGCATAAAAAGAATGTAGTATCCAGTCTATGGAGAGTCGAGTGAGTGGAGTGCATTTTTAAAGGATTTTCTAACGAAATTGGAAATGCTTCTCAGTCCCAGATTAATGTCTTTTTCAACATTTCTGCAATGATTGACCTTAATTGAGATAATACACATGTATATGATGACAAAATGGCTTCGGGATGCAACATTCTTTCCAAAAGAAAATCCACATGAATGTGAATGAGTAGTTACCATGTTGGAGTCTTTTCTCTCTCGGGAGAACCTGAATGTCAAGGACCCAAGTCTCTATCCATGGCATAATGAAGAAAACTATAGCAATGATGAAGTCTAATGGATGCGCCTTGGTGTCTAATGGCACACAGGCATTCGTATCATGCTTTTTATACTGTAAGAAAATAACAGAAAATCCATACTCATTATAAGTATAGGGCGAGTCAAAAAGAAAGTGACCGAATTAGAAAAACATTTTTTTTTTTAAATATGTGGCTCACTCCATTTCACAAAAATGTGAAAATTTCATGTAATTTGCAAACTCTATTTCCAAGTTATGTCTATTTTAATTTGATTTAATTTGATTTCAGTTGTTTTTTTATTCCAACTTGGAACACACCCCTTAACCCCGGGGAGGGTAACATGAACATTTTAAACCTAAATATATAAATTTACATTGGCAGGAGAAAGGAAAAGTAATCAAGAGCAATCAGACATTAAGATTTTCTTTTTCGTTCATGAACAAAAAGATGAATTCGGCAACACAATTAATAATAGATTCATCTGTTGAACTCATAAGAAATATACATTTTTGACTGTTTGTAAGCAACTGAAAGTGTGCATGTTTTCCACTTACAAAGTTAAACATTTGTTCCCAAAGAGCACTGTATATTGGACAATTGAGTAAAAATGGATCTCCGATTCAACCTCCAAATTACAGTGAGGGCAAATTCGCTGGTCATATTCAATACCTACATACCGTCCTATTTCTATAAAAAGCTCGTGTGCAGAACATCTAAACTGGGCAAGATAAGTTCGATGTAGAGAATTATTTACGGAACGTAGATACAACTCGAGCTCAAAGTTAGTTTTAAAGGCACGATATGTCCTTAATTTGTTTCTCTGATTGAGTTTGGTCCTAGAATCATTATATAATCTAGCATAAGTTATCAATCAAATTCAGCTGTCCACCACTGATCATTTATCTTCCAACGAACTGATGAGAACCCATTAAACTTAATGAAGAATGGATGTTTTCCAAAAACTTGCAAGGGAAAATAGTCAAAAGTCGCCATCAATATTTCAGATAAAAAGAGTTGAGTTGTTCTTTATATTCAAACACACAACATCCGACAGTAAAAATAGTGTTTCAGTCTTGCCTCAACTGACTGAAATCTTATTTGTAATTGAATGCCTGTGGTAATCTGTAATTCTCACTCAGCTCAACAGCATCCAATGGCATTCCATGGACAGCTGTAAAAATAGGTTCGTTTAGCCTTAGTAAAACATGTATAATGTCTGGTACACATGTAGCAAGGATCAATTTCAGTAATTCTTTTTTTGTCAGATGAGTTGAAGAACATGGCACCATGTACCCCCTAAGAAACCTCTCATAATACATGTAGCTGTAGCTCTGTAGCCTATCAAAAATCCACTTTAGACAAAAATTCATGGTCATGTGACCAACTACAATGCATGCTGAGAATCCAATATGGCCACCATCGACACGTAAAGCCACTTTTAATTTTCATCTTTTCTGAACAATTTTCTTTGTTTTGGGGGTACTCTTTTGACAGTTCTTGCATAAAAAAATCCAAGCATTTATAAAATCAATATATATACTTCACAAGTGCCACTTTTGGTGGAAAAAAAATCAAATTATGGGAGAAAATCATGAAACATTATTATCTGGTCCCAAAAAAGTGGGGTATAGTGCCCTGCACCAGTGATTTTGGATGCCAAAATGTGTTTGATGGATATTTCACGCCCCCCCCCCCCTCAAAAGAGTTGGGAAAAGGAAAAGGCATTTGACAGCTTTGTTGACTTGCTCCAACAATGAGTGCCACATGGATTGTCCGATGGTGTCCAATTTCATCTGCTTTGAACAGCGCCTCCAATAATCAGATAGTGCCCAGCCCCACCTCTCCCCTTATTTTTTGATTTCGCAACGACCGACTGACTAGTCAACAAATCCTGGCTAACTTCCAGCACAGAGAGTCTGCAGCTGGTCAAACCTACATGTACACTCACCTCAAAATCATACACAAAGACTTTAGAAATCACAAACCCACACGATAGAGTGGTAGTCACCTGGCAAGAGAGAAAGGACAAAGGACGTTAAAGTAAATAATATGAAGACCATGGATTCAATGTTGCGAGATAATAAATGCACAAAGCATGAAATATAAAGCACTACCGTTATAGGCCTTATTCACGAGTTGGCCATTTTTGTTGAGTTCCCTGAACGTATGTCATTAAGTGTTAACTGTTCAATGGTATGGCACCAGACTATTTATGCAGGCACATTGCAGTCTTTTTTTTAATCTGGCTTTAAACATTAGGGAAATTTTTAATTACAAATTTGAAATTCAAATTAGGTTTTGCCCTTCACCGACGTTTTAAACACTGTAATTTGAAATTATTCATTGAAGCCGACTTGAATTAATTAGGAATTAACTTTCTTTCATTTCTCTTCGCAAGTTCCAAAAATTAAGATTTGACCTCACTTTCTATTCAATATGGCCGACTCGTGAATAAGGCCCATGGCAGCCATTCACACACAAGTATGCCCTCGGTGGTTCCACAGTTGGGGGAGACCAGTGGGAGGGACATTGGAACGTATACCTTTATCATGCTGCCACCATTACAGTCATGTTCCCTGTATCCATTAACAGAACTGAATGATAATGGTTTTTGTGCAAAAAGAAACCAGACTATTTTTCCTTCCAGCCTCGCTTTGGTTATGTTTATTTGAATGGGAAAAAAATCAAGATGGCCGCAACATTATAATGGTCTATTGCCAACGACGCCTGACGCTCGTGCAGTGATGCATACGAGTACATATGTACTTTGCGCTGTACATATGCACACACTGGTGTATGCATGTATGCAGTGTGTCCCTCAAACCACAGAGGCTCAAACATGTGGAACTATAGTGGAGATGAAGCTCAATCAACTGTTCATGCACAGAGTTCATAGATGAGAACTTACAGCAAGAGTCCACCATCGTTTGCTGCGGAACAATGCATATACTGACAGAAGAATGATGAATCGACAGGCAGTGATTACTGGGAAATCAAAGAGTGACGTCTGCATAGAGTATTTCTCCACTTGACACTTCAGGCTGGCAGCTATGCTAGAGTTTGTTAGCTATGGATAGAAAGAGAGGTTGAGAGATGTTATACTGTATTTGACTCACTTTCAATGAATAGGCCACTGGACGTGCTAAATGTCAAGTGTGAAAGATACTATTCTCCACAGACTACTCGCATGTATGAATGGAGGATACATGCAGACAAAACGTAGTGCTGTGCATTTTGGAATTATCATTCTAATTTGGACTTGATTGAATATTCAAGTATTCCAAACGCACTGATAACATTTTACATATGCCAGCTTATAATGGCCGGCGATCAGGTTTTGCATTCACCTGTGCTTGTCGAAAATTGACAAAGAGCTTACATACATGTATACATGTACTTTTTCGATGTAACAGAAGGGCTCATATTTGACACATTTTAAATCAGAAATTTGAGCCACTTTTCAATATGGATTCTCTCAAATCATGCTTGTAGTGTGGCTTGCAACAAACGTGTTGCATCTGAAAAAAAATATGGAGGACACTTTTCATCCTCTCCTTTAAGACTGCTCATATTTGTTCAAATATTTGAATCAAAAATATGTTATTCAGTAGATGGTCAAGTATTTGATTATTTGGTATATTCAGCAAAGCCCATAAAAAGTAGCTGTACATAGGGAGACTTACGTTGACATAGATGAACCATAATACCGTCATCAGTAGAAAGTCAAACAGAACAACCAGGCAGAACATTCGGCGCACTGTAGAGAATTGCAACTCCTTCCGTAGCTGCTGCACACGTTGGTTGTTGGAATCACGGCTTGTATTAACGCTGGTGGATCCAGAGTTTATTAATGGTGGGTGGTTGGTGTCCGACTGGGTGTAGACAGTGTATGCATCATGGTTGCCTTGACCAGAGTGTGTAGAATGCTGGAATCCATTGACTGCATTCTGGCAAACATGGTCAACGTAAACAAAAAACTAGTAAAATACTGTACCGTATCCAAATGTAGTTTCAGTTTTGTACATTTTTCTTTTTGTAACTGCAAATCAAGCTCTCAAAATCAAAAGGTTTTAAGAAAGTTTAGCATCAATATTCCCTATGAACATGAATGTACAATGCCATTTCTGATTTTGGAAAGGTACTGCTGAAATGTTAACCATGAAATGAGGGTTGAATAATAGATCAGTGTAAAGGTACAGCAATAATGCTTGTAACTTATTGGGACACATTCATTCCAGATTTATGACCATCAATCATGAATATGCAGAGTTACATGGTGGATCAAGAACCTATCTATTTATTTATTTATTATTTATTTATTAATTTTTATTTTTTTTTGGGGGGGGGGGGGGAGGAGGGAGGAGAGCTAGCCTGCCATTACCACTTCATTGAGCATGAGGGGGAGCTAAAGGAAACTCTTTTTTCTTTTCCCTGTGCCATGAAGTGAGCATTTGACTGTTTGCATATCAAGTACAGGGGAAAAACAGAATGTACGTGAAATCAAACATGGATGTACACGTCCCTTGAGTGTCAACTCATATTGTCAAATTTAGTCATCATGCTGTGATAAAAATAATAACCCAAAACGACCGAAGTTCATCTGATTGTAGGAGGTGAATATGTACACAAATGATTACATGTACACAACAGTACATGTAATTGACAAGCATTACTCAGAATCACAGATTTGGCTCATCCAAGTCCAAGTCACATGCATGAGTGATAGTAGAGTTAGGAGCCTCCAAAAATAAACATCAAGTATGTGTGTTACACCTGTGTGCAACATGTAAACTCTGATAATCATAGATAAATAAAAATGGAAAAAGAAAAAAATGCACTTTTTAGTGTTGATAATTGTGGATACTTGTACTTTTTAGTGTTGATACAGTGGAACGCCGCTATACCAGACATTCGGCTAGATACCAAACATCATCCTTGACTCCCGGTTTTAAGGTACGAAACGTACCGAACATCGTTGTTGAAAAAAGTCAACAGATTAACAAAAAAAACCTACCGGTTGTACATGTATTAAACACTGTTTGGGCCACTTTTAATTCCCGAACATCAAACCATCCATGGTAACATCGTGTTTGAATGTTGAAGAGTGATAGATGGCTATTATTTCCCAAGGAATAAAAGCGAAAACCACCCGTTGCTGAAGTTTTGTGACAACTCCTCGTGCGGCGGCGGGATGTGAGAAATGCCAGTTCAATGACTTCACTATTGGTCAAAAGAGGGTACCGGCGGTTCAAAATCGCTATACCGAACGATCGTTATTACAAACACTTTCTGTGGATCCCATGATGTTCGTTATAGCGGCGTTCCACTGTAATTGTGGATACTTGTCAATTTTCAATTGATATATTATCTCATAGTCTGGTTCACAGACCAAAAGATTCAGGCTATTCGATGAATCTTAGGTCAGGTAGCCGCTAGTAATACATTGTAATACAAATGAAATATATGTCACGTGAGTAAAACGGGAGGAACGACTCCTTTTTCCGAAAATGTCCGAAGTTTGCTCAATTCGTTTCGTCGACAATCAGTTTTATTACCTGCCTTGCTTATTGAAAACTTTTTAAAAATAGATGATTATTAAAGGAAACATGCAGTGGAAATTCATCTTGTTTTCATGCACATTACTATGTGCTGCAACAATACATACAAGATTTTAATAGGCCTACTTGTTTTCACTCGAAGTGACAAGAAGGTCTTACTTTTTCAATTATTAGCAAATCCCTTCATCAATACATGTAAGAGGGCGCTCTTTTGCTTTTGTCACACAAGGTACCAGTACTCCTTGTCAAAAGTGCATATGAACAGTACAAAAATTAGTCCTTCAAAATTACCCACAAAAAAAGTTTTGAAGAAATAATGGCCACTACTATTGTCCAAACAAGGTGTTTAACATTTAACAAGTAAAAAGTGAAACTTAAGCTACTCAAAGAAAATGAAGAAACGTTTGATATAAATGTATATTTGTACACACTTAAAGCTATGGAGACACTACTGTTCTGCCTTGAATGACATCACGCTTTGGCTCATGAATATGGAAATGTGCATTAGCATAAAAACTAAAATGTTAAACTTTCTCTCTTTTACTGCTACAAAGGAGGTGGAAAGTCATAGTTACATGGCAAGAAAGCTGTTTTAAATGTATTTAAGTCAAAAAATCTTATTGCATTATTCCTTGTATACATGTATATTCATTGCGTGCATTTAGAAAGCTTGAAATTCAATGACGATTTTGTGCATCAAGTATACACTCCGGTGGTACTTTTTGCTGCATCATGTTTATGTACTATTTTGAATTTGACGACCATTATTGGGATTTTCCCAAAACCCGGTGTGGTCTCCATTCGGCTCGGCCTGCTAATTTAGGATTTAGGTGCCTAACTATGAAGATTCCAGGTTAACATTAATAGTCAATGTTTTTTTACAGAAATATCGAACTGTATATACTGTGTGATATATGAAGCGAGTGATTTATTTAAACATTTGATCGGAACATTAAAAGCTAAAGACCTAAAAGTATAAGTGATAAAGCGAATTCAGAAACGAAACCAAGCTTTGAAAAAGGGCCGTCAATGTCGTCATGTTTATTTTTAGCCCCGGAGGCTGCCTGACCTACAATAGTACAATGTAGATGCCTGGGCGTTGGGAGAAATTGTCAGGTCAGGGCACCAGACTAATTATCTAAGGGAAATTTACCAGGGCAGTTCGCTCGTACCCCCCGCCCTGCAAACAGGACGCTGGGAAGGGCTGACGAATTAATGCTCTGATTGGATAGATTTTGCGTGACCTGTGACCTGCAAGTCATCACGACCAAGACCCTGTTTTGAAACGGGCCGTCACGACTGAGTCATTCATCACTCTTTTATTCATTCACAAATGTGGCGCCCTTTTTTGGATGAAAAGCATAAAAATGTAGGAAAATCTGCTCTGTGTCGTAAATTTCAACTCCTGTCAGTTGCTCAGGCTCCGTTTCAAATTCACAAAGGGTCGAACTGCATATCATTCGACGCTCAAAATTTGTCCACATGGTCCGCAATGAAAAAAAAATCACATCCGGTATGGTGTGTATGCATTTCTATGGCAAACTTCTCGGATAGTATTTGCGCGCATTGGCTAACCGCAGTCTACAGCTGCAGCCAGATGCTTTATACACAGGTCATGATTAATTACCCAGAATGCCATCCCCACTTCCTTCACAAGATTCTGTGAATCTCATCTGCCCTTCCCAGCGCCCTGTTTGCAGGGCGGGGGGTACGAGCGAACCAGGACAGAAGATTAAGACTCCACAAAAACAAAAAGGGGGGAAGCCCTCCCAATACCCACTTTAAAAAAAAACAAGTCAGGTGTGTTTACAAACACAAATGCCCCGCAACCGTGACTGTTCCCATGACATAACACCACTCTTTTAACATCAACTTACATGTACCTTGGTCACATGGAACATTCATTGACAGCATTAGTGTCTTCTGTAGGTTTTATATGAATTAATCCCTAATCCCTATAATCTCAGAATAAAAAAAAGATTTCTATTGTTTTAGCCACTGTGAACTTGACCCTTGACCTTTTGGCCCCAAATTCAATAGGCTTCTTAGGATTACCAAGAACAATCCACAAACCAAATTTGAAGTTCATATGTTAAGTATTTCTCAAGTTATCGCGCTGACAAGATTTCTATTGTTTTAGCCACTGTGAACTTGACACTTGACCTTTTGACCCCAAATGCAATAGGCTTCTTAGGATTGCCAAGAACAATCCACAAACCAAATTTGAAGTTCACATGTAATGTATTTCTCAAGTTATTGCGCTGACAAGATTTCTATTGTTTTAGCCACTGTGAACTTGACCTTTGGCCTTTTGGCCCCAAATGCAAAAGGCTTCTTAGGATTGCCAAAAACAATCCACAAACCAAATTTGAAGTTCACATGTAAAGTATTTCTCAAGTTATCGCGCTGACAAGATTTCTATTGTTTTAGCCACTGTGAACTTGACCTTTGGCCTTTTGGCCCCAAATGCGAAAGGCTTCTTAGGATTGTCAAAAACAATCCACAAACCAAATTTGAAGTTCACATGTAAAGTATTTCTCAAGTTATCGCGCTGACAAGATTTCTATTGTTTTAGCCACTGTGAACTTGACCTTTGGCCTTTTGGCCCCAAATGCGAAAGGCTTCTTAGGATTACCAAGAACAATCCACAAACCAAATTTGAAGTTCATATGTTAAGTATTTCTCAAGTTATCGCGCTGACAAGATTTGTCCGGACACACACACCCACTCACCCACCCACCCACACACACACCCACACACCCACCCACCCACCCACCCACCCACCCACCCACGGAAGGACAAGGCGGAAACAGTATGCCCCTTCGGCTTCGCCGCGGGGCATAAAAATACCATGCACATGTGTTCGTGAATTCCATAAACCCCAAGGACAGACAATCTAAATTTGGACTGGCAAACTTTCGGATAAATGAACCTTCGGACTATTGCATCAAATGTTCGGATTAACGAACCTCATTTCAATTTCGGACTAATGAACCCCTGGTTATGGTAAATTTGTGCGTCCTGACAATCAAACCTTCACATCAATAAACCTTCGGATTATCGAGCCCTCAGACTATCAGGTGGATCCCGTTATATTATGTAGGTAGGTTCAGGTTTAGGTTCAGGTTTATTTTCATACTGTAAGGTAAGTTGAATACTGTACATGGGGACAAGCTTTAACGGAACTTGAAATAATAGAATGGAGAGGTCAGACAAGAAGCCGAAGTTTGTAGTTGTACATGTACTGGGTTTGCCCCTATAGAAACAAAGGGAAACTATCAACATACTTTTTTCTATTAAACAATAACATGTACATGTAGAATATATTTATTCATGCATGCGTCCTATCCCCATGATACATGTAATATAAACCTATACAACCACAGGTC